TGCTGTGCAACAAGATCTCCCCCTCCCCATCCTAGCTGGGCTGGAAATAAACAAGCAACAGACATACTCAGTCCCATCACAGCGTGTGTGTGTGCACACGTGTGTGCGGGCGGGGGGGGATTACAAAACGCTGAGTCACAGGCAGCTCTTTCGTTTCCAACTCTCCACAGTGTAATGGAAATTCCTGTCTCGCTGCCTGCACTCTGGGGTGCCAGAAGTCACCTGGCCCTGCCACCAAAGGCCCCCTAGGATACCTCTGCAACCTTCTGCAGAATCAAAGGCAGGGCCACTGAACCAGCCTCAGCTCTGACATGCCTCGGCAGGCGGCAGGCCAAAGGCGTGTTCTGTGAAGCCACCATTCACACGCCTCGGGATTTAATTCCGCTGATAGCGAATGCAGAAAGTCCCCTGGCCACTCCTTGCTTTTGCTGTTACCAATCCCACTGAAATAGCTCAATTCAGCTAGGCTAGGTTTTGTACAGCCTAGCCAAATTGCTGCCAAAACAGTTCACTAAAAGAACATCCATAATCTATCCCTGTGATGATTCAATTACATTAAAGCTCCTTGAAGCCTCTCATTTCTCAGCTTATACAATAGTCCACTGACTGCTTTCTTGCTTCAACGGCTATTTATGAAAATGGAAAACCTTTCTCTGTATCCTTCAGTTATAAGAGCTGAATCAAATTTCAGCAAATGTTACTTTTAAGGTATCTAAAACAGAGAATCCTGTGATGTGAGAAAACAGCAGCAAAAACCAGGAGATGAATCTAGGCCTTTTTAAGATTATTCCTATGACTAGCAAAGCTCTTCCTAAGACCTGGGACCACAGAAACCAAGGGCTGCGAGAAAAGGGCTGGACTTTTCGTGGATCTCCATCTTATTAAGGAGACAGGAAAACGTAACCCTAACTTGCTTTGGAACCATATTATAAATGAAAGCAGCTTTCTCCTCCTACGGGATTTCTAAATTAAAGACAAATATTTTGAGAACAAGAGGACAATAGTTTGATTACTGATGTAAACTTGCCTGCTTAGAGCAGAGGTTCCTGAACTTCAGTCAGGATCCCCTGGGGAGTTTCCAGCAACTTTGGGGGGGGGCATTGTTTTTTTAAAAAAATCTTGATTGGGCTTGTACAGGTCCAGCAGGACAGCTATCAAAACTTGCTCTGGGCTTTCACCCCGCTTTTGCCCATGGAAGCCAGTGGGCACCTGCAGGACTACAAAACTTTTAGATTAAAAATGAATGATTAAAAGTAAATGATACTGTTATTTCTTGCCCAAGCCTAACCCCAGTGGAACCACTAGTTTTATTCATGGGGGGGTGCACCTCACCCTGACTTAGAGCAATCAGCGAAGCTTCCATCTCAAAGGCTCTTTTTTTAGAAAAATGAGGGAACACAGATGGTGGCTCGTTCAATAGTGCCATATTCCTATGAGATAAAGGCGCAGAGCCTGACAAAGGTATGCCTGACTGACAAGATTACTGCAGAAAGCTAGGCAGTAGAATATTTAGCAAAGCACCATTTTATACTGTAAATCATGAGGTAGGCTTATTTGTCCAGAGAGCTGAAATTCCCACCACGGAGCACCCTCGCAGCTCCTGGCAGCTCTTGATTAGCCACAGATCAAAGGCTGCCAGACGTTGCCCTCACCAAGCTTTTGAAGCATTCCCATTACATTATTCAAGTCACACAGACAGGAGGGCACTCTGTCGAAGCAGCTTAACTCCAAACATTTGAGACAGGCCATTCTCTCCCAGGGTCTCTGGACTTGGAAAGCTGGACACAGCCCCCTAAATTAACTAAACAGGCAGGCTTTCAGCACTTCTCTCTGGCTCTCTTGGCTCACGGTCCTCCTGTGCATACGGTCTTTCTCGCTACAGGATTGCACGTCTACGCTATTTCTTCTCCCCCCTCTTGCATGCCAATCTTCGCTCCTCCCTCTATGGGGGTCCTCAACAGCATGCAGGACTCCCCAGCGTGTCCTTTCTTCTCTCCACCCACCCGTTCTACTTGCTACTTTTTCACCCAGGTTCCTCTGCACTTCCAGGTCTTAGCATCCGAAAGTCAACGCTTCTCCAGTATAGATTACTCCCTGCAACTGAGAAAGCAGCTTTCTGTCTCCTAACAGATTCCTGCCAACAGGCAGGAAGCCCACTGCATTTCTGGGAATTGCAGGAATAGGATGAGCAACGCTGAAGTTGTGGAGAAGGCATTTTTCCTTCTCCCCTTCCTCAGAGGATCTCACAACAGCGGAAAAGGCTGCAAAGAACAGGCACCTGGCATCCTCGGACCCCTGAATTCTTCCAGGCCTCTTCCAAGACCAAGCTAATTCACCACCTTCCTTTAAACCGTCTCTCCCGACCTGAAGCCCCCGCATGTGTCTGACTAAAAGGTCCACCACCCTCGCCCATTATGGGCAGCGAACCCAGTTTGCAACATCAACGCCTTCCACTGCCCAGTCACTGAAAGTACAGCAAAACGCTTCACCTTCCGATTCCCCCTTGAAGAATCTCAAAGCAGAGGGCCAGCAGGAAGGATGGAGAACCCAGCGGGCCTGACGGAGCCTGTGGAAGCAGCAGCCCCAGACCAGACCATTACCGTCAAGGCCAGGAAACGAACATAACCAACCGCCCCCCGCTCTGAATTTCACGGCTGCCCCCGTCCCGTATGCTTTCCGAGGCTGAGCAGCAGCGGTACAGTGTGCGGTTCCCAGGAGGTGGCGAGAGGCCTCCGGCACAAAACGCTGGTCTGTTCTCCACATACAAGAGTTCCATGGCCTGCATTAACTCTGCCCGGAGTCTCCCGCGGGCCTGCAGGAGGGGCCACCCATGTAAACAAGACAATCGGAGCCAGGCTGTTCCAGCGGGCATCGCTGGACCTTTTTCCTCTTGTGACTCACCATCCCACATCCCAGAATCCTTTGCACCAGTTCCCTTGGATCTTCAAAAAGACTGCTGGCTCTTGGGTGGGGTGGAAAGCTTCTGTCCCTCCTCCCGCCTGGCTGCTGGAGCAGAGTGAAAGAGAGTGACAGAGTGAGAGAGAGAGGAGGAGAGCGACAGGGGAGAGAGCGAGCGAGACGGGGCAAAAGGAAGAGGGGCAACAGGGCAGCGCATCCCCTCCCCGCCGAGCGCTTCGCAGGGTCTCTGTGGCCGCGGGGCCTCGGCTCCCCTTCCCCCCCTCGCCAACTACCAAGCACCAAGAGCAAAGGCAGCTTTCCAGGAACAGTCCTCCTCCTCAGCCTGGGAATGCGCCCAGCACAGAGCGGGGGCTTCCTACTTCAAGGGAGGAAGCAGCAGCAGCAGCAGCGGGGATTCCACAGCTACGTCTCCACCGGCTTTCCTTCAGCTCTAGTGGCAGGCCCCCCGCCCCCATAACCCCCTCTGGAGAAAGCCTTGCTCGCCTCAAAGCTGGCAGGGGAATGGGCCGTGCCCTAACGGCCCCCTCGACAGCCCCCCGCCTTTCTCCAGGAAGCCATCCTCTTGTTCCCAAGCCAGGGCTGAAGGGGGCAACTGACGGGGTCGAGTCAGGCCTTTGTTTGGACAGACTACATAATACTGTCCTCTTCAGAGAAATGCAAAGGGGGGGAGACCCCATCAATCGACAGAGACAGGTGGCCAAGAAACCTTCCTGTAATTGACTCGCAAAAGCATCTGGAACAGGCAGAGCACTGACTTTAATGCCAATAATAGCATGTCAGTTACTTCAGTACACTGAGGAAAGCACCCTGAAAGAAAGCAACGTTACCAAATACGTAACCACTGGGCCAACCCCCACAATGGCGGGGCAAGCGGCGACCGCCAGAGGCCCAATACGGGACGGGAAAGGGGCAGAGAGAGAGGCAAGACTGACTAACCATTAGTTGGGCCAATGGACAAGAAGCGCCCCTTACCAGCAGCCAACAAACAGTGCAGGCGCGGGTGGCGAGGACGCCCCTTGTCTCAGATTAAAGGCCAACTGACGGCAGGAGCCAAGCAAACTGACCTCTCTGGGGGCCAACGGCCAGGCCAGTCAGCTGGTTCCGGTTAGAAATCGGGAGAAAGCATCACAACGTTAAGAGGCGCACATTTCTGGAATGTCCACCCTGGAAAGCAACTTTGTCCGTTCGAGAGAGTTGTACAATTTTCCCAGGAAAACTGTGGGAAATATGGCCGTGGCCGGGGGCCCCTTGGAGGCGGGGAGTGGGGAAGATCAGGGCCCGGCCGTTCTTCAAGAGCAGCCAAGAAGAGGACTCTGCCTGACACGGTAGCTGGCCCGTGACTTTCTAAGGAGCTTCCGCTTTTTTGCTTAAGAGGCACAAGGCTAAACATCCATCCATCTGGCAGTGAACAACAGCCTGCGCTAGGGGCCTGCCAGGTCCACGGCCACCGGGACCCCTTCGCAGAAGCCCACCAGAGCAGGGGCCGCAGAGACCTCTCAGGCCTGCGCAGCCCCACGTCATCTCTGACCTCTTCCTCTCAGATGAACTGAAAAGGGGTGGAGAGGCTAAGCAGGTCCAAGGCGAGCTGGTGCAGGAGACAAGCCACCCGGAGCCGCTCAGTGCTGCCCCCAGCTTCCATCGGGTGTCTGTTTAGCGTAAGCTATCAGGGGTACTGTGTACTGTCAAGGCGCTACAACCTCGCACTACTATAGCATCCCCTTTCTCTTTCCAGCCCTTGGTTTTCCTTGGGGGGGGGGAACGGCTTCCGACAGGAAAAGAAAATTATGTGCAGACAGAGAGGGTATCAAGCCACCATTATTTAGCCAAAGAGAAACGTTTAATGAAACAACCCTTTGGGGACGATGGGTGGGGAATGCTCCCTAGGCCACAAGCCGATGGTGAGGGTGCTCCTCCGCTCGCACCCAACCACGATCGTCAGGAGCAGCAGCAGCACAAACGCACAGGAGCATGCCCACCAGCGGAGGCACCACGCCAGCCTCCTTCTCCACCTCCCAGCCCCACGCGGTCCCCGGCTTTTAAAAGGCAAACTCAGATTCCTGACGGGAAGCACCAAAGCTTACCTGGGTGAGGCCAGGGGAGGAGGCATGTCCTGGGGGTGTGGCAGCAAGGGCAGGATGCCCCTTGCTTATTTCATGAGCAGAGTAAGGGGAGGGGGCAGGAGGACCTGGCTGTCTTGCCACCTGTGTAACCTGTGAGGAGATAAACTGTTAGTAGAAGCAAAGATTAGTAAAACTGTTTCCACAAAGCGAACACCTCTGGGAAGGAGAACTGCTTTACTAGAAATGCATCGCTTATCAGAGCAGCCGTACACCGGACCACTGATTTATGTTAGTGGGCTTTGTGGCGACCTGGCTCCAAAGAGGCTCTGGCAGGCTTATTGTACTGTACTTGAAAGTGCACAATTTCGAAAACACAACTGCCCGGACAAAGCCGCACCAGTAACATTAAAAACAAAAATTAGACAGGGGTTCCACAGTCAGACTAAGGAGCTGCAAACTAACGCATTTGGTCTGGTTTGATCTCATCCCCCCAGTTCCAGAGCGGGCATGCCTGATTGCAGAGGACGCGGCTCCTCCCCGGCCTTTCTGAGATTGTGCTGGCAGCGATTCTTTTGCTCGCGCTCTAGTTACCAGGACGTGCTCTGCTTCTGATGCAGCTATCGCTCCTCCTCCCATTCGATGCTAGGAAGAAGAGCTGCTGCATCTTAGGACGCAACCTTCGTTGGACAGAGGTAAACTCCGAGTCTCTTCGGTAGACCTAAGCCATTGGGAAGGGATCTCCCCGTTCCTCTGAAGGGTGCTGGGCATTTTTTCCACAAAGGAAGAGAACGACAGATGAAACCCTGGCCATCGACGAACCCAAGGCAAGCACGTTTGGGTGGGAAAGCGAAGTCTAGCCACTCTTAGAAGCCTGGCTGACCGGCTGTTGCGAGGAAGTGAGTCAATGGGGAAACCCTCGGGGTCCCCCCAGAGACAATCCACAGAAAGGGTGTCTCACCAGTCTTGGCTATACTGAGATGATCCATCACCCAAACCACGGCTTGAGGTAAAAGACTTGGACGTCATCCTAACTGCCACTTAATTAACCGCTTTGCTTCAAAAGCAGCAGGTAAAGAGCGCTCCAAATAGGAGAGCACCACATCACTGTCTCCTTTGATCAAAAGTTATGCGGGAGAAAGCTGGCTATCCGCACAGAGTTCGTCTTCTTACAGCAGGTGGGTTGGGTTCGGAGACGTTGCCCTGCTTGTGAGAGGCCTCCTCTTCGCCGTGTGCTCAGCGCCACAACCGCCTGTCTTCCCCACAGGCCCGGGCAGCCCTGGTCCAGCTCCATCCTTCAGGACTGTGCGAGCTGGAGGCAGGGGTGTCTCTTGCGGGATCCCCTGGAGTGCCGGCTGGTGCCACAGGTGAATGGGAAAGATGCTCACCGGGGGCATCGGTCCACTGGGTAGGAAGGTCTTCTTCTTTCTTGGGGAGATTTACCATTTTCAAACGCTCCCTGTGTGATTGACTCTTGCTCATTTTCAGGCTACCATACAAACTGCCTTGAGCTTTGCAATCCAGCTAATTAAATATCTACAATGGCTGAAATCAAACTTATCTAAAAAGTTATTACAGCATACCGATTTGTCATTATGCACCTTACAGTTATTGTAATGGGGCAATGCAGGATAGATAAAATGTATCATTTTTAAAAATTGGATTTCTTAATTTCAATTAAAATTAAACTATGTTGGTTTACAGATATACAAGTAAATATTAAACAAATTCAATCAAGTAATATTGATAGCATTACATTTAAAGTCTCCATGAACTAAAGTTCCTATCAAATATTCAGTGAAACCTCAATTTACTAGACCTTATTGCAATCAACTTCACAAGGAACAGACCAATTTTCCACACTGATAAATAGCATGTGTGTGTCATTATGTACACAGATGCAAATGCTGTCATTTGTATAATGACATCATTACACAAGTGGCGCAAATGACACATGTGAGCACGCTCCAATTTAACGGGCATTTGCTAATAATGGACACCCCCTCCCCCAATTATTTCATTAAAATGAGGTTTCAATGTATTAAATACTGATTTTCTTCCATGCAAAAATATGTCACTCTAACCGAAAAAGCTTTTGTTGACTGGAAATCTGACTTTCCAGACTAAGCACTTCAAATGGTGCAAGTGTACGCAACAACTATTCCTTTGCATTTTCTACCGGGTCCAGGGACCAGCAAATCCCCCGAGTGCTGGAATCCAGGGGATGTCATCCTGCCTCTTCTCAAAAGCAGCCATGGGACTCATACAGATAACCTTTCATTTTCGTTTTATACCTTCATCTTACTGCAGGCTTGGTGCTGCATTCCATTCTCAAATGATCAACTATCATTTTACCAAACAAATTGCACAGTCATTTATTTTCTATCCACAAAGAACAGAGCAAAACGCTTTTTTTAATGGTATTACTATATTTACTTCACTGTTGATTCCAGTAAAGAACTTCCTTCATTCAGGAAATACTGGCTACTAGCTAAAACCCAAACCGATGCGTATTACGTACAAGACTTTTCAATTAACTTGTCTGCAAATAAATAAGAGACTCCAGGTTTAGCTTTCAAACAAGTACCCTTGCCTCTGGACACACACTGGTAAGGAAAGCTCCGATTTTTTTAAGACACACACACACACAGATATGCACACGGACATACACTTTCCCCCCAGCAATTTTACTTAATCCACTCTAAGGAAATGGTACTCCTGGATGAAAGTATTAATTGAAAAGGAAAAAAAAATGGTTGGCAATCGTGCTTATTCCCACCCAATTAGTTTCTTTGCCCTGATGCTGATATACTTCTTAAAAATGCAGTGTTTTCCCCAGCCTCAGCAACAGCTCACAGCAAAATAGATTGGCCTCCTGACCCACATCTTTAATAGAAATACACTGTGGCTGGGGCAGCCTTCAAAATTCACTTCTGGGGGGAATGGACTATCCCTGGAAAAACAACACCCAGAAGAACTCTCGGAGTGGAACTTCCGAGCATCCACGAATGAAAAGGTCTTTCAAAAGATTTGAAGCCTCTGCCCTGCGTTTCTAGGCCTGCACTAGCAGAACCCCGAATTCAAGATGAGGGGGGAAATTCTTTCCCGCCTTGCTCTTTCCGGGCGGCCTCCCGCAGGTCCTCCTTCCAAACCCCATCCTGGACTGGCCCCAAGGAGGTGTGTCATCTGCACAGCTAATTCCTATTCAATCCAAAAGAATCCAGTTCTGCAGCACATCTGGACAAGAGATGAATCGCAAACAGGTTGTCTGAACCAGGCATTGCTCTCCAAGGGGATCAGGGGCAGAGAGCTGAACGAGTGGAGCGTTTCAAACAGCTTCATCCACTGACAGAGTCCAACTCTGAATTTATTTATTTATTTTTCAAATTTACATATGCCACCCATCTCAGTATACAAGTGACTCTAGGTGGCATTATGGAAAAAAAACTATTTTATTTTTTACCCTCGTGTAGTTGTTATCATTTTTAAATGTTTACAGAAGCAGACCCAATTTTCTTATTCTGAGTTTTAGGTGAAGGGAATTCTGCCGCCAGCTTAGAAGGCCTATTACTAAACACTGCAGACCTCTCTGACATTAAGAACCACAGAAGTTAGGAGAACCATAGAAGTAGGAATTATCTGCAGAAGGAAGAACAGAACAGGCTCCTCCAAGTCATCAGAGCATCCCAGAAACCAAAGGTCTCGGGAAAAGAACGGCCCGCGTATACTTACAGTGCTGTACACAGCCGAGACAGTGGGAGTGAAGATCCGATCCTCCAGGGGCTGCTGTACAGGTCCCCGGGGGATTCTGCAAAACAACAAATTAAGGAAAAAACACAAGACTGAAGGAAAAGTATGTTTAGTACAAAAGGCCTTTTCTTCTAATAAAGTCTGCCTCTTAATCAGGAGAAGCAAATGCCACAAACTGTTACTTTCAGGTAGTAGCCAAAAGAAGGGTTACTGCAGACAACAGATTTCCTGCATATAAAAAGTCAGTGGTATGTAAGAAAGCCGGAACAGACAGGAATAAGAAAACTAAATTTTATTTCTGATGTAACATGGTCAGCCTCCTTCTCAGTTGCCTGACACATTCTGCCAACAGCCCAGAAACAGAGCATGCATTTCTTCACTGGTGTTTTTCACTAACTGTCCCATCGTCCGCCTAACGGTTCTGGGAACTAGAATTAACTTGATAAGCTGACATACTTGCCATTAAATCAGCTGCCTCAGATACACAATTAAAAGTGCTCTTTTAATCCAGAATACGCCCTCTGAACTTCAGGTAAGTGGAGGATTTTTTCAATGTCCCAGAAAAATGCCCCTAGTTGTTGTTTCAACAAGGAATTGAGGATCAGATTCCAGGGAACCTTCTTCAAGATGATCTAAGCTGCTGCTGGTAGGCTACTGATCTCCTTTTTAAAGATGCCTGGAGCTCACTAACCAGCACTTCAGAGGAGGTTCTGTAGGCCTGTTTCACACACACACACACAAGCACAAGAATCACAGAGGTTGCTACTGGAACACAGAACGCTTTCATCAGTCTCAAGGTAAGCAGCTGGTGAGCCAGGGCAAAAACACCAAGCGATGGATAGGCATGAATTCTTTTCAAAAGCACCAACGTTTCCTATCCAAATACCCAAGTCATCCTTCCGGCTTATAGACTTGGGAGAAGCCTCAAATCACAAAGCGTAACTGATGCCAAGTGGGAGACAAATATTCCCCATGAGTGCTCTGTCTCAGAAAAAGCAGAGATGGCCATGGATCCCACAAAACTAACACAAAGAACCCTTGTGGTATTCTCCTCCCCTGCACCCCCTCAATTCAGGAGATTAAAATGCTGAGCTTTCCAAAACTACAGAATACAGGTAGTCCCCGCTTTAAGAACGAGCTCTGTTCCCAAGGTCTGCCTGGAACAGTCTTATTGTATAATACTGTACAAGTAGTATTGTGTAATTAACTCGAACCATTGAGTATTTAACTCAAATCCTGTTACAATAGGCTCTGTTCTTAACTATGGGTCATCTGTAGCCCGGGCGTTCTCAACCCGGGGACTACCTGCATACAAAAGCTTCCTCAGCTCCATGTGAATGCAGGCTTATCAACAAACCTCCCTTTGGGTGCCTCCACATGGCAACTTGGATTAATAAACTATGTTCCTAAGATTCAGATAGAAAGACTCCTGACCTGTGTGAGCCATCCCAGGGAGAGTCAAAATAACACCCAGCCACAGCCACCTTGTTCAGCCACTGCAATTTTCTCAGATTTTGCTAGGACTCAGCCCTTCATCTGTGTACACAGACAGCTGTCACAAGAAGATTCAGAGCAGGGACAGCTGTTATTGACACAACTGAAGAGAGCAGAAAGCGATTTGGGGCATGCGGTACCTCCCAGCAAGCGCAGAACCACCCTTTTGTTCCCCCGATTTATAGGCTTTTTAACTGCCAAAGAAATTGCAGGCTTTTGATGAGCGCGAAATATACAAGTTCCACGTTTAAAATGTAAACAAAGGTAGGGTGAAGACAGCAAAGCCCTGGAAAACTCACCTAATGCACATTGCCTCACAGAGAATTTGGATGTATGCGTTGAAAAACCACTTCCTGTAGAACCCAGAATCTCAGCCTCAGCTTGTAAGCTTTCCTCCATCAATGTGAGCTCTGTTTCCCCCAAATAATCCCACAGGATGTCCAGCTGGTTTAGAAAATCCCATTATAAGCCACACGTCCCTGACCAAACTGCAGATCCGACTGATGCTTTTCAAACATCAAGAAACAGAAACCTGAGCTAATAAACAGGCATATGTATTAAAAATAAAAAGTCCATCACGTGACATGTCATATTGCCAAAAGAGTGACATAGCAAAACACGTGTGTGTTCTGTATTTTGAAATGCAGACATATGATACTACGTAACATTCACGAACTCAGAAAATGAGATAAACAAAACTGACCCTCTTTCCTATAACCTCTTGCTGCTGCCTCTTTTATAGTCTTCCTGTCATCCCTGAGAAGCCTCCCTGCCGCTTGTTGTCCAGCTTCCCTCATTTACCTCTTAAGAGCGGCATCTCCACAGCAAAGCCCTCTCCAGGGGTACTAGCAAACTTTCACCAAGGCAGTAACCAAAATTAGGAGAAAGGGCCAGGATAACAGGTGCTGTTATCCCTGAGGTAAAGGGACAAAGCTTATACCTCGACCTGATTAAAAAAAAGGGGGGGAAGCTAAACTCTCAGGATCCATTTCTGAAAGCAATAGGGGGTTGAATTATTTTTACCTAATCACAGCTTATGCGTGAGTTTAGAAAGAGCTGCGAGGGAATAAATCCATCTTGCTCTCTCTAAAGTAAAAAAAGAAAAAAAGGCACCTTTTTTTTAAGACTGCTGTTGACAGCAAGTGATTTAGTTCTAGGAAACTACCAAACAATACATATCAAAACAACTTTAAAACAGGAAAGTTTGAGGAGAAAAACTGCTGGTTAAAGCAGCTCTGTTGAAATGGGTTTTGTTGCTTCTGCGCCCAATCCCTTCCCTTATCCTGCTATTAAACTGAGCCACTCCTTTCCAGCCCTGAGCCTTGATCTGTGTGGGTCACCCGGCCAGCACCCTCTGCTTCTCAGGAACCTTCACCACGTGCTTCACGGCACCTGGGAAGGAGCCGCTCCACAGGAGGAAGGCCACGGTCCGGTTCGTCCCACAAGCTCGAGCGGCGGCTCTGCTCGGCGCTCTGTCCACACCTGGCGATCCATGCCATGCTCACAATCCAAGCGCCTGCCTGCTCCATCAGCCTTACCCTGCACTGACTTGTACCCTTGCGAGCACACCAGAAGCATGTTACTTGGAAACCAGGGAGAGAGAATGAAAAAAAGATCAGCTGCTCATAGGAACACACAGTACAAATATTCCTCGGGAAGCTAACCTACAGCAGCACCCCAGTCCAGCACTGTCTGAACGTCCACTGTGGACCATTGCACAGCATTGCACAGCATTCCAGGACAGTTTCACCAGGAGGTGACCTAGCAAAGCCACCTGCCTTCTTAAATTCAGAGGGAAATGGCATCTACGCCCCTTGAGCTCCAAGAGGAGGTGAAGCAGGCTATAAATCCAAAGAACAAGTAGCCCAGCCCTGTCGAATCTAGCATCTCCAAAGTCTATTGGGGTACAATTCCCATCACCCCCAACTATGACAACTGGGAGTTGATGGGAACCGTTGGCTGGGAGAGAAAAGGTTCAGAACAGCGTTACCTCTGCAAGGGGGTCTGGACGGAGCAGGCTTGAGCCCCGCAAGTTTAAGGGCGCTGCAGCCACCACAACAGGCAGGCAGACCTTCCCAACCAATGTCACTTTAAACCAGTGCCTTTCCACTCTCGCTGGTGATCAGGGCACAACTGATGGGGAAATTGGCACCTTCAGACCTCTAACTTCCCCTACAACCGTGGAACATTTCTTCCCCAAAGCCACTGAGACTGCTTGAGGATTAACAATGGGACTAGGAAAGGGGGAAGAGAAACGGGGAATATTAACAAAAGCCTGGGGCCTGAAAGAGCCCTTTGTTTCTCTGGTCAATGCCAGCCTTCTGAATGGCTGAGTAGAGCCAAATGAAAATGAGGGGGAGGGAGGGACCAACTGGTGGCTCTTTAGGGGACATCTCCTCTGCTGCCAAGCTGCAAGGCAGGAAAAGACCTCTGCGGGAGCAGCACAGTGCCTACCAAAGAGCCAGAAACACGGCCATTGTCCATCTGCAAGCCCAGGCTGAGAAGAACATGCCCTGCTCCTGGACCCCCAGGAAATCCTAGGAACGGAACCACACCGCTTGCAAGACCACCAGCCGCACAGCTCCAGAGAAGGGAAGCAGCTGACAGAAATGCACCACGCTCGCTAAGGCGCCTTTCTTTACCCGCTGGACCAGCTTCACTCCAGTTCTCTCTGGACTGGTAACTAAGACTCTACTCAGGCCACCGGGCAAGCAGTGCTCTTTTAATAAACAGTCAGTGTCATTCTGACCATCACGCTTAAACCAACGGAAGACTAAAGAGCCAGCAAATGCCACTTCATCCATATACAACTATTCTTTGTGGCAAAAGGAAATGCAAAAATGCAAAAGCTATCACAGAAGTCCATTTTCATTCTATCAACACTTACATCCCAGGAACCCTTTCAAAATTAGTTTCCTGCAATCATATGAGTGCACTTAAAATTCTCTACTCAGTGACAAAAGTGATTTCACAGAAAATCACCATAAGGAATGGCAAAAAACCCAAATCTATTGTAAACAAACATACATGTTGGATTATATTCCTGAAAATCTAATTTGATCATCAGCAGGAGATTTGCACGATGTTTTCATTTCTGGTCCTGTTCTTAAACCACTGAAAATCAAACACAGGTAGTCATGCAGCCTGTCCTCAAGAAATAAATGACATTAACAAAAACAACCTCTGCAAAATAGTCAGAAATAAAAAAAACCTGAGAATTTTTTAAAAAGCAATCTTTTTTCTGGTAAACAGGCAAAGCCCAGAAACTTTAGAGCAGCAACACAGCATGGCTCCAAAGTATTCATGCCAACAGGTAAAGAACTGTCCAAGGAGACACCAGCTTGCAATTAAGAGAGAGTGTTTCTCACTTACAACCAAAGGCGGAAGATATTGAACATACCACACCTATCAATGGAAAACTGTCTCTGTTGTGGATATGTTGCTATGCAAACACTGGCTATAGCCAGGTGGTTTAGAACTCTGCATAATTTCACAAATCAAATTCACTGTTAAAAGTGGAGTGAATGGCTCCATTACGTCTACAATACTCTGGAAGGCTCATCCTACAGTCCTGGTGGGATGACGTCTATGACCCCATCACAGTAATTGCAAAGGCCCCCTCAATTAAGAGAAATCAGCAGAAATTCCAAATAGCTGGCCCCACAGTCCAGGGAGTCTAGCATTAATCCTGAGAAATTGAAGAACTTTCATTCACTTCATTCAACTGATCGAGCCGCATATTTAAACCAATGTTTAACTCAAAGAAAGTAAAAACAGAAAATTGAGAAAACATCAGTTCTAACCCAAACTAGAAACTCTACTGCCTCAAGAAAAAATTGTTTATTTATTTAACAAACATTACAGTTTCCTTATTAGGAAAATCCTTACAAAGTGGATTACGATTCAAGATACAAAACGTGTAACGAAAACCTAAAATTGATTACAACAGTAAGAGTGTTTTGCGGTACGGACTTTCTGGGAGAGGGCATTACAAAGATGCCACCACGAGGGCAACCCTAACCCTAGTTGCCTACAGTCTCAGACCTCCATGGAGCAAGGCATCAGCTACTCATCTCAGAGCTCTGACAGACTTACAAGATACTTCTTAGTGAACTGGGTCCAAACTATTTTGAGCCACATAAACAACACTAATACTAGGAACAAACGACCAATGTTGCTGGCTCAGAGTCACTGCAAGGTGAGCACGGCCTCGCCTTCGTACAAGCATCCTTGCTGCTGCATTCTGAACTGATTTTAAGGCAGTTAAACCGATACCCAAAAGGATATCAAGTTCAAGGAAAGTTGCTGAAAGGTATGGAAAACCCAACAGTCTCACTTCCCATTTATTCCTTGGCGCAAGTCACCCACCCAGGCAGCCAACCAAGGTAGTTTCCTTCCTATAACCAGGCCAAAAGCCAGACTGGAATGAGTTCTCCAGGCTCATCTGGTGCTGACAACGCAGGACTTCCTCCAGGCCTCCAAGAACAGCATCCTGGAGACTGTGGGGCAGGACCTAAGTGAAGTTTCAGAAGTGGCTCTAGCACAATTACAGCAACCCCATCTATTACAGAAGCGTTCTCAACTTCCACCCAGCCATGGCAGATTGGGAAGCTGTAACGAGGGGGGCTCCGCTACGGCTGCATAAACTTAACAGCATCTGGTTATTTCCACCTCTGATTTTGCTGAACCCACGGCATACACATCGATGCATACATGATCGCATTTGTCCATAAAATACTAACAGAACTTGGTCACAGTGGGCCTTTGAGGAATCAACACATAAACCTACTGTTCTTACACCAGGCAGACCTCTAAATTTCAAAGGAAGCAGATATTGTGCAGACACAACAGAAACAGAGAAATAAGCTCTCTTTGCTCCCATCACAACCGAACAGGCCCTAAGCCTGCTCCAATTTATGTATTCTTGTATTCGTCTTCAGTCTTCTGCACTTTGGACAACCAACCAAATCCATTCTGCCAAGCCACAGTTCAGGAGACTTCACTAGGAGCTGAGATTACGCCTGCACCGAGAGCCATAGCTCAGCCATCACTCTGCTGCCCAGAGGCACTGCCCAGTGGAGGTGAGAGTGAATGTAAGAAGCTGTTTGCTGAGAGAATGAAAACCAAAACCTGTAGTATAGCTTGTAAACCGCAATTTGCCACGTACACATTCAGAACAGAAACCTTTGTTTGGCCTCTAAGCCTCGGTTATTACAAACCAAGGTTTGGAGCAATGCCTAATTGAGCTTCTCTAACCATTTGCTCATAGGTATGGCTGTCCCCATACAGCATGCCTAAAAACAGAGCCAAGGCGTGAACTTACTTAGGAGGAAGAGGGAAAGCCAGTGTTAGAAGCAAACACTTCTCCTCTCATACACATTTCTGCCATGTGACAGGCCAAAGAACCGAGCGGAGATGTGTGGTACTGATGCCCTAGTTATATTGATTAGCCAACTAGAACTAGTTCCTCAATCTGTTTCTGTACATGCAGCCCTTTAAGGGGGGGTGGGGAGAAAGAGTTGTGCAGGTTCCACAAGCAGGTAAAGCAAAATTATATTGTATTGCATTGAAACAAGACAAGATGGTAGATTAGCTTCAAACCAAGAACCATTGTTGACTTACAAATCTTGGCTTATTTGGACGTCATAAAGTAGGTTCAAAAGTAATGCTAAGTTAGCTGCACTGGGCTTGCTTATTTGCCTGCAGGAGCGAACAGGAGATGAGCTCCAGCATGAGGCTTGTTCATAAGGAGGCATTATAAGCCGTGATCCCTGTATTAAAGTGGCATGAAAATGCTCCCGTAACTTACAGTTTATGACGAAGATGGAAGCCTGCAATCCAGGCCAATAAAAAATGCAGAGTGATCACTATTGTCCTAAAGGAAGCAACTGTGCAGTTTCTCAGGACACTACCTCTTGGTACAGAAATGTCTCCAACTCGATACAACTCTCGGCTGGTACAACTCACACCTGCATAACCAGAGGTCTTCTGGACTTGGGTTGCTGAACAAATAAATAAAACCCCAAAGATCTGCATCAGCAGTTCTCCAAAACTGCGTGTTTATCCTGCTGATGTTAGCAATCAAAAAGCAACCACCACCATTACAAGCAGACCCTCAGCCTTCCTTAAAGGGGGTATCAAGCAAGCTTTCAAAGTTCACCTGTCTTATTGTCTGTTCATCCCTACAAATTACATCCTTGGGGAAACACCTGTGCCCTGGCCAGGTTCCTTCTCTCCCATTTTTCTTGTTTTCACATACCGGCTGTCCAAAGCCAGATCAGCTCTACCCGCCACCACTGCCGTGGAGAGAAACCACCTCAGAATCTTCTGAAGGACACTGTGCTGCAGTTCGCAGAATGAGAGCGGACTGGCCTGCTCCTCCCAACGCTATTAACAAAGCTAGAAAGCTGAAAGTCTATGAATTTCAAACCAACTCCACAAAGCTTCCTCTCCTGAAAATGCAGAACTGAAACCTGCCCTCAGGACAGCTGGGTCTGAACAACACGACGAACCCAGTAAGCCGCCCACTTTGCTAAACACTTACCACTGTGTGCCAGCAGCAGATGACTGCACCAGCCACATGGGGAGCAGACACCTTTGCCGGTCTTCCAGCTGCCCAGAAGGGAGCAGACAGGCTCTCTTTCCCAAGCGCTTTTTCTCTCCTAACGTGTGCCCCAGCAAGCAATACTGGGAAAGGCTTATCCACCCCCGCTGCTTCCTGTCCCTCTTCCCGTCTTCCCTCAGCCACAGAGAGCACCTGGAAAGTGAAAATGGAAACAGGCTAGAGGAGCCCAGTTTTGCAGGATCGCTCAAGTACTCTGTTCCAGTAGCTTGAAGAGGGAGATAACCCTCTTGTCTCTACTGAACGATACAGATGACCATAAGAAATTAACTCAGCCCCCCCAGCCCCCTGGGCTAGCCCAATATACCCCCATCGCTGACTGTGTTTAACTGTTCACACAACACGTTACCCACCTGATCCAGTTAAGCCTGTCATGTAAAGAGAACCTTTGCAAATTAATTAATCAGGAAGTCTGATACAAATTGGTAAGTGAAATTCAGAATTAGGGCACACCATCAACTAATGTCACACTGCAGCTCTCCACATCTTAACCCCTTAGTGGTTCGACTTGGCAGAAGAGTCTCAGGCGCAACTCAACTAGACTATAGTCTTTATTGCAGACAGGGATGAAGCCTCAATCGCATTCGCTGCAGCGCAAGGAAGCAGAGCCTTTCTATATGTCGGTGCTGCAAAGTTCAAACTCTCTGCTTTTCTTCTCTGTTGACCGGTTTCTCAATGGTTGTCGTCTTACCAGACTCATCCCCTACATCCAAAGTCAAATACAGAAATAAATTTAGGTTACAGTACTGTTCTGTACTACATGAATGTTTTTAGCAGCAATTCCAGGCTTCTCATTCTTAACAGATCTAATAAAGATCCTTTAACAAGTGAGACATTACTGTGCTTCTGCAAACCCACAGTTTCTCCTTCTGATGACATATGCAAGAAAAGCACAACCGAACTACAAAACCTACCCCATGTGAGCATAAAAATCAGGAGGAGTCTGGTAGCACCTTTCCAACAAATGCATTTTATTACTAGGAATAAGCTTTTCATGAGCAGCAATTCATTTTATCAGAGGCACAGGGCAGCTAGACTGATGTAGGATTTAAATTGAGGGGAGGCAGGAAAGGAGGGGGAGACGGATTGGTTACGCAGGTCACTCATGAGACAGATTATAAATACCTTATCAGTTACAAATACCTTCATCTGATGAAGTTCACAAAAGCTTATGCCATTTAGTAAAATACATTAGTCAGAAAAGGTGCTACCAGACTCCTGATTTTTCGCCACAGTAGACTAATACGGCTTTCCTTCTGCAATGCCTACGTGAGGGTATTTGCCATCTTTCCAAGCCATACTAACTTGG